AGAAAATGAAAGTTAGCTTGTCGCTCCTAATACAAATTCTTAAATTTCTATTTAGTATATATTCCCCATATGGTGTGTTTCGCGTTGGCGTCCCACCCTATTAGAATGTCCTCCTTGCTGTTCTCCTCTGCTAGTCTTGATAGAGATGCTGATAGCACGTTCCCGTATTGGGCCATGTGAGAGAAAACCAGAAAGAACCTCTTTCATTTTCCACCTTTACTACTGTCCCTCTCTTATAAGAGGGTTGTCAGATTCGCTGTAGCACTTTTCGAGTGCAGCAGACTAATCTGCACGCATCTAATCTTCTGGGGCATCTTGCTGCTCTCTTATTGCGACTTTCCTTAGCAGCTGGCTGGCTTCGTCGACCTCTTCCATGTAGTCGTCGTCTGCCGCTTTGTCGGCTTGAAAGATTTTCAGCCTGGCCTTGCGGATACAAAAGCTGATTTTGTTTTCGGTTTTCGATAGAGTCCTTGCATATGGCCACTAGTAATGGTTTGCTGGCTTTGTTGGGTTTCTCCTCCTTTATCAGCTGCCAGTCGTCCATACCTGGTAGGTCTTGTTTTGCAGCTTGATGCACCGCAGGAGCTTTTCACCTGTCTCTTCTAGAGGGGGCGAGCAAGAAACCTCCATGGGATATCCTTGGCGGGCAGCTTGAAGCCTACAAAGGTGTCACTAATTTTAGCGACACTACCCGTTGCGAAATCTTCGAAAGTCTGATCCTTAACGGTTTCCGACGGGTCCAACTCCGGTTTGGGACCCGCCGGATTGTCGAGCACATAACTTAACACTAGACTCGATCATCTGACGTCGATCTCCATCCGTCTCCCCTGTATGGTGCTCGGTGTCTGGCCACATCATTGAAGTGCCTTGTTGTTCTGCTCTTGTTTGGGTTTTTTAGACAGACAACAGTTCCCGTTGCTTCATTTTGAGAGCGATTCCTTTTCTGGGAACCTGTCTGCTTACTTTTTTCGATGTGATATTCTGTTTGTTTCATGCTGCTGCTGTCTCTACCGGCGTACTATAGTTGGTACATCTGGGAGCACTCTTATTTCAATTCTGGCTGGAGGCGAGACGGGTGTCTTCGTCAGACTCGACACCTTGACTTAAGGTGGTGCTGATACGGGTGTCCTCACACTTCCACTATAGGAGTATGCGTAAAACCAAAGGTTTATTCATCCATTTCCCCTTGTGGGAGTTATGAGGTATCCCTCGTAACTTCGTAACAGGAATGTGCGCTTCCATTTGGATTGCGAGCATTACCATTACTTAAGCTACTTCGCCAAGGCAAGGCGACCAACGCTGAAGGAGCGGAATTTTTGATGAAACGACTCCTATACCATACATAAATGATCAGGATGTCTAAACAAGTTGAAGTGCGGGTGACTGTCTGTTCCTCCGTCCATTCGTGCAAGCTGTAACTTGAGTAAATATTAAGATATCCTGATGAAACATGGTATACGTGTTCCTTGGCAAAAAAGAAAGTTCGTAGAGGGGCATAATCGTACAACTGCTACGCCCACAAAACGCCATTCAACGAAAATCTTTAAAGTTCCGTAGCTTTTTAAACTAAATACAGATATAAAATTGTAATTTGGCCTAGAGGATTGCAGTAGCAAGGGACATCAGTGGAAAAAAACCTTTGAAAATGTGGGCGTGTCCGCCCTCTAAGAGGTTTAATGGACATATCTTCTGAACTACTTATGATATAATAACCAAATTCTTTCGGGACAAATCCCTAAAGCACCCCTACTCACACTGAAACATTGGATAAAATAGTATGATAACCCCGCACTTTCCCATATAAATAAGCCAGACACATTAAATTTTACATCCGAAATGGTACGAGAGGGCTTTTTTGGAGCCGGGGTCAGAATAAGACGCGTGCCACCGCCCACATTTAGCTTAAAACTAATGTCTCAGGACCTACTCGGCCGATATCTACCAAATTGAGTAAATGATATTATCTTCAATATTCCTACATTACGGTGCGAAATGGGCAAAATCGAACTACAACTACGCCTACTTCCCATATAAAACAATTTTAAATCCCTTATGATTAATTCATTTTCCAGTATGCAAATCAAGCACCAATGATTGTATCGGGATAAAACTTTGAACGAATAGTGCGCATAAAGTAGGTCATCTTATCATCAAGCACCAATGACTGTATCGGGATAAAACTTTGAACGAATAATGCGCATAAAGTAGGTCATCTTATGACCAAAAATTGTCAAAATCGCACTACAATTGTTCAAGCCCCCTAATACGAAGATTTTCGAACTTCCGATTTACTTCATACCGCATATATCGGCCAATATCTGAGTAATCTTAATGAAAACGAAATCGCATATTTTACTAATAACAATATTTATTTGTGCCTAAAAACTACGATTTTCGAACATCCGGCTGACTTTACTCCATACATATTGATGATGGTATGTGAGGTACCTTAATGAAACCCAGGGAGCAATATTTTAATGAAATTAAATGGAATAGTTTCCTTGAAAATTATGTGGTTTGCCACTGAATATGAATGGAATTGGTCTAGACCTTGGTCTAAAACTAGTATCCCTAATATAAAGACTTTCGACCTGTGGTTAACGTTTTCCACATCAACTCAGTATATTAAATTTAGCCTCTTCGGTTGAGTTTATATCACATATTTCTCATTTAAGGATGATTTTCATATCATGTTGTTGACAACATTAATTAATAAAACTGAAAGAGTACATAACCTTCAACATACCATTATTAATATATATACCAAATTTGATTTCTATCCATTCACGATTTCGTCGAATAATGAATATTGAATTCTTTCGCAACATGTTTTAATAAAATGTTTTGCCAACACTTATAAGTATTTCGCCGACTTTGATCCTTGCAAGTTTCAAGAGTAAAAATGTTCAGTTACGCCTGAACTTAGGCCTTCCTTACTTTTGTTTACTTGTATTGTGTAGCATTTTTCTTTTGCCTATTATATATTCTTATATAATAACATGTATTTATCTGTATTTATCATAGAGGAAAAGTACTGCAAGTGATGGATTACACGGGAGTACGGCACGATATTCAAGGTAGTGTAGACGGGCGGATGCACACTGAAAACGGAGATTCAAATACAAACCTTTGCATCGTTACTGGCCAATGCCTTACATTCAACGGAAAATTTTTTACTAACTCGTTTTAGCCACGTTGTTTGATGTAAAAAGTTGTTTAATCGAATGAAGGTAACTTGTTTTTTAACATAATTAAATTAAAATAAAAGTGTTAGCTTACTCCGAGACCCTCGCTCGCGCTCTTCTTAGAAGGCGGGAACTGGGATATCTGCAGTGTATATGATATAATATAAACCCAAGAATGCTACCTCAAAGAACATCAGCTTTATTAGACAAATATGACTCGAGTATATTGTAGAATTGGATAGGTAAAGTTTTATAAATTTTGTGTAGTAGGCCTTTATGCGAACCTTGTGGAACGCTTGTGCTACGTCAAGGAATATTGTACAACAATACTTCTTGAACTCGGCCTTCCTCATTTCATTAGTAATTTGGTTGACTTGTTCTACAGTACCATGTTTTCACGAATACCAATTTGGTGGTCTGGTATCACTTTGTTACGATGGAGAAAACGAGATATCTATGATGAAAAAATTCTTTCGAATAATTTAGAAAGACAAGGTAGGCTTATTGGTCTGTAAGAAGATGCCTGTTTGTCGTCTTTTCCTGGTTTGGCTATCATTAGAATTCGCGACTTTTTCCACGCCTTTTGAAAGTAACTGAGTTTCAAAATGGCAAGAGTTAAGAGAGCAGTGCTAGTACAACACTTGGTAGCTCTCTTAGCATTTTCGGTGTGATGAGGTCATAGCCTAGAGATTTCTTTGGGTTCAATTGCTGAGTCGCATTTATAACTTCCAGAGTTGATGTTTTAACCGTCTCTTGAGTTTTAAGACCATTCTCGATTAATTCAGGCAACATAAAACTGTTTTGCAAACCAACAATAACATTTATGTCACTGATTGGAGTACTTAAATCAGCTGGGGTTTAAAGTTCTTATGTGCCTTCCAGAAGGAATACTTTGTGGTAGAATTTGGCGTCAGTTTTTTTTTTATGTGTGATTTGAAATAATATTCTTCTGCTTCTTTTAGTGAACTTTTCAGCTTTCTCTCCGCTAATTTTAATCATAACTTTGACGGAGGAAAACGATGCGCTTGTCATTCTCTCCACAAGCGACGCTTTTCTATTCTAACTCTTCTGTATTTCAGTATTTGTTATTGGTTTTGGGCTCGTAATAATACTTTTTCTCTTCGGAGTTGTTAAGGTTACCGCAGAGGCGAGTCATTAATGTATTTATCGATATAGTTTTCACTGTTCAATATTGAGCTGATGTTACTACTGATGTGACTACCAATAAATTTTTTGTATTTGAGCCAGTTTGTTTCTTTGCTTGTTAGTGTTAGTTCTTGGCAAGTGGTCAGAGGATAAGTCAGCAACAGTCATAGCTGATACAAGTTGGCGGTTGGTTGGTGGCTAGATGAGTTACGCCTCCCCCCTCCATACACGCCACTGCGCGCCAACACACCACATCAACACGATCCACAACAGACATCACACCACTCAGACCACCCACACATACACATCACATCACACCACAACTCTCCCCAACTCAACACTCAAAAGGGGCTAACAGAGGACAAAAGCTTCCCTTTTTCGTTAGCGAATCGAACCGACGAGACGTCCGCAAGTTGCCCGTGTTTTTTCCGCAAGAGTACGAGCCGTATCCGTTTTTCTTATTTTTCAATAAAATAGCCAACAAAAGTGCAAAAGGTGAGTGCGCAAACGAAGTAATTAAATAGTTGGTATCGCCAAATTCCTGAAATTGATTTTATGGGATTTTAAATCTTAGAGGGCAATTAATAGCGGGCAGGTTTAGCTCTTTGCTAAATTATACAAAGCTGCAGAGGTAGCTTGTAGATAATTTGTGGCCTATGGCTGTAAGACGCAGTGTTTAAAGCGATCGATTGATCTAAATTGGTCTTTAAAACATTTGCATATGACCATTGATTAGAATTTATGCAAATTTGAGACGGATTTGTTCGTAGTTTTTTCTACAAATTGGATTTGAGGTTTGTTTACCAATTCTCTCCGGCGAGCATGGATGTTGTTGGACAGCCTAATTTTCAGATCTTTGTATACAAGGCAGTCCCTGTAATTAGTTGTATGATTTCCTCCGCAATTACTTTTTTCATAGTGGCATCGTCTTTCTTGGACGTGCAATCAGATCTGCACACAAACACTGCATGTGCCGAATTCTTGGCAGATCGTACATTGAACTGGACCATTTCTCTTGTGTGGCTCTTCTACCCTGCGATGAAGCAAGGATTTAAAATTATGGTGAGTTTCATATATTTTTTTCAATTGACTTGTATTGGGAGATAGTTCCACCTTAAACATTGGCTGGGATACTTTTTTTAAATATTTGTAGCAGATTTAATATTAAAACCAGCTTCTTCAAGCACCTCTATTATTTCGTCCGTGCCTAAATTATTTTTCTTTTATGTTTGAATTTTATGATAGTATGTATTGTCACTGGCGAAGCAAATTAAATTTTAGGCTGTTTCTAATTGCGAGAATGGCTCTTAGAAAATTCGCCGTGAAGTGGCGAAAGAACTTACGAAAAGAAATATTTGGTATTGCGACTAGCAAATTTGTGAAATGCGTTTCCCCTCAAATTTGACGAACGTTTATTTGATTCGCGGGTTCAATTGAAACTGGAAAAAACGTTAGTATAATCTTAAAATTTTATTTATTGTATTTAATATATTAAGACTTTACTTGTTTTCAGAATAAAAAGAACCAGCCAGAAGCAATTTGAAATGATGGTAAGGTTAATGGAGAAAAATCCTGACGTAGCCAGTGAAATAGTACCGTTTGGGTCCACAAAAAAAAATAGGATGGAGTTGTGGGAAGGTATTGCGGCTGAGTTGAATAATATCGGCTTTTCAATACGTAGTGGCAGCGATTGGAATAAGGTAAGAATTAATAATTTTGATTGCATATATGGTGTGTACATATGTAGACACATAATTATATTCGTATTGATTTGTGTATTACTTAGGTTTGGTTGTACTACAAGCTAAAATTAAAGAAAAAACTGAATTCGGAGAGAGACTGTAGCCAGAGGTGGAGGGCCTTACACTTATTGTAGCTTAACGCCTTTAGAGCAGACCGTGCAGAAGTTGCTCAGTTTACAACAGGCAGTGAATCCAACCGGGGAAACGTTTGGAACCACTGCCGCTGAAAATTTAGAGAAAACATGTGTCTTAGGTGTTTCTAGGCAAGTACCTATAAGCGGAGTGAAGGAGCGCAAAAAGATGCGTATGAAGGCTTTAGAAAAGCAAGCGCAAACGCAAGAATCTCTATGAGTTAAGCAAAGTAAAACTAGCATTATATAAAATGAAAGAATCCGCTCTCAGAAAGATAATATTAAAAAAAAGGAAAAAATTAAATACTCAAAATAAAAAAGGTATTTAAAACAATTAATTTAAATTATTTTATTGTATTTTTTATATTTATATAGGTTTAAGTACTACAGCATTTAGGAATGCAACTACACTAATCACAATGTATTCGCTATTTGTCTTCGGCGACGCTCCACTACTGAACCACTAAAGTTTTCTTCAACTGGTTCCAGTGGTACCACTACATCATTTAGAATCATTAACGTTATACTGCTTACAAATATTGTATAGAGCACAGCATACATTGTTGCTTTACTAGGATGATATCGATGTTTACGTTCACCTAGTATACAACGAAAACGACATTTTAGCACTCCAATTGTCATTTCAACTACGTTCCTTGCCTTTGCATGTTTTTTATTAAAATGCTTGATTCTGGTAAAGCATCTCGGAAAGGTTTCCATAGGTACTCATGTAATGGATAACCTGAATCACCTAAATGATGTTTTATTTTAGTTTGTATGTTAAGTAAACCGAATTGTGATATTCTCTCGGGTATTTTCGTTCCAAATATGTTTTAAACGAGCTATTATTACACACAAATGATTTTTGGATCGGCCATATCTTGCGTCAACGCCTTATGACCATATCATGACTGCACACCTAATTAAATTTACTAAGGTTGTCAGTGGTCGACATTCAATCTATAGAATATACAATTTATTAACAATATTAATAGTATTTAAATTATATTGAAGAATTTGAACAAAATGTAAAGAAAGTTGTAGAAAACAACTTACAAAAATAAATTTAAAAAAGAGTTAAAATTTATAATTCATTCTCGTGCAAAATCATTTGTTCTGTTCTTGGTTTTGGCTTAATTCTTCCCTGAATGAACAATCGAATCAAATCGGAGAATTTGTGGGCACGTATGGACCTGCGAAAAGATGCCAAAATAATTAGTGTAAAATATTGATGAATCGTTTGAATGAAATACCGATGAAATCTTGAACTGATGCTCCATTTTGAAATATTTTCAACAAAGAATTGTATTCTGCTGCGTACATTTATTCCTCAGATGATATCGGAAAGTTATCGGCATTGGAATTAGCAATTTCATATAACAGCACCTTCTTCTGAAAAAATTCAACATTCTGACCCAATTTATTGCATTGATCCTTCTATTGATTGCATTCAACCTTCAATTGATCGCAGTTATTATTCAATGAATCGCGTTCAATTTTTAGTTGATCGCTTTCGTTCTTTAATAAAGCCACAATTTCGAGAATGCGACTTTGCACAACATCTTGCTCCCGTCATAATTTGTCAAACAAATTCCTATCCCCTTCCATCACGAAATCAAATCGCTTGTATGCAGCGAAAGCAAGAAACAATGAAATGAAGTAAATCTAAAATAATAATAATGTATAAACTTAATTCTATTTTTTATATTACAAAGTTCACAAAACTTCAGTGCAATCAATATTTTATGTAAACACCTTTTCATTATTAGGGTTAATGATCTAACTCTACCGACTGCAACGTAAAGTTGACCATGCGAGAAAACAGGTCATCTCAACAATATTCCAACTCTATCAAATGTCTGTCCTTGAGATTTGTTAATTGTCATCACAAATGCGTTGATGACTGGGAACTGTTAACTGTCATTGAAAATTAAATGGCGTTGCAGTCCCTACGTCAAGTGTATGCGTGGAATCAAAATACGTTTCCCGCGAGCAACTCCAGTGAGCACTTCACAATCTACCGTGTTATTATGCTTTGCTTTGACTCGCGTTCTTGTCCCATTTACTAATGCTTGCTTCGTATTTAAATTTCGAATTAACAAAACTATCGCTTTAATTTTGCGCGCCAACTTATGTGGTGGCATACCACTTACAATCAAAGTATATAAAAAATTCTACTGAATAGTTGCCACCTCGCTGTTATCCTCGCAAATAATTGTCTCAAAACTGTGATAAACCTTTTTTTCACCAGTGATTCAATACATCGTTATTGATAAGTCCACTCATTAGTTAAAGCTAGCACAACTGACTTCAACATTCTATCTGATCAAATGGTTTCATTAATATCTCCGAATATATCATGTAATATGTTAGATTCAACATCTATCAAATTTGCTGGAATTTCATCTAAATCTTCACCAAACTGTCTGATATTAGACTCATCAATTAGAAATCAATCGAATTCTAACTCTTCGGGGAGTGCTCTCATATTTTCAGTTAACGTTATATGATTAAAAAAATGAGAATTCTGAACAACTCGTAATACAATTTTAAATCATTACTGAGTGTGATTAATGAGGAACAACGGGCAATATTTGTCTAAAATCTCCACATAATAATACAGTTTTTAAAGAAAGTTCCATCACTTCGAAATTCGTTGTTGTTTTTTATATTGTCGATTCAACCAACTATATAAAATTGACTTTGGAAACAAAATTTTCAAAAAAGTAATTATCACTCAATGCAATTGAAAATTAATCTAGAAATAAAATGAATGACATCAAAGGTGTGTGCATATGTATGTATATACATTTTGCTTATAGAGTGGTGTAATTCATTGCGTCGCCTGATAGGATGGTGAAATTTTATTTTCGAACTTGTGTGTTTTCGATGTTCCCTCATCGTAATTAACATTTTAGTACAGCTAACATTTGCTCCTTCTCTATTCATTAACATTCTCTGCTTTGGTATGCACATAAACATAAATTGAAATAGTAAAAACGAAAGTAATTGACTTTTGACAAGAAAATATAAATAATTAGGGAAATAATATGAAAATATAATTAAAATATCATTCAATAAAAAAGGGTTATATAAATAAAAAAATAGTATATAAAAATATCTAATAGGATTTGAACTTAGGCAAAATATTCCATTGCAATAATTGAGTGTGCTATACAAGCAGCACCACAGACCATATTCAAACAATTTTGTCTAATCTGTGAACGCAAACAGCTATTGTTGTTTACTTGCTTCAAATTTTCATATGTCCATATGTGAATATTCTTGAAATTGCCTTCCTTCATTCGGATGTTCAAATATATTTGCATATATGTACACATATGTATGTCCCTCAATATGTCTTTCTCAAAAAATCAAACATTCGCGCAAGTGACAAAAAAACGTAGACGCACCATCATCGGCCAATAATATTCAAGCAAACTTGCACCATATTTTCTAGGTATTCCATATTACAACGCCAACAAATTCATTCATAAGGAACGTGCGTCTCTGCGCCGAGCTATTTTTTCTGTGCGCCTGGTAAACCACATTTGGTTTTCATATAGAATTCCTACGCAAATGCGAAATTAAGTTTATAAAATGAATGAATGAAATTGAATTCGAATGGTTTCAGTAAAACGAGAAAAATTCAATTTTACAATTTGTATCACTGAAAATCCTACCCAATTCCCCTCGCATTTGTATGTTACCCACAAGCTGCTTACTCACTACGATGATAAAAATCAGAAATTGAAGAATTTGTCTGATGTTCACTTCAGAAAGGAGAATTGCCAACATGACCTATAAGCGATTTAAAATATTATTTTAATTTTTTTCATATTATGCACTATTTATGGCATTAAATTATAAAATTTATATTAAATTGCCATTCATATGAAATCATTAACTACTTCTATATATTCTAAGCACACTGCATATAGTACTTTTATATGTTTACTTATTATCATTATTTCATAGTTTCTCAATTTAGCCCAATTTATCTAAATACGACGCTATGAAAATGTAGCCCAATTGGTAATCGCAATATTTCAAAAGAGCATAAGTCAACTTTCAATAGCAAACCCCTGCAAAAAGGACAAACGAGACAACATAGCCGACCGACATTGTCGCAAAATTGTCCATTGAAACAAATTTTGTCAACTCCGCCACGATGTGCAAAATTCGGCGTTAATATGTATGCGAGCTCATATGTATATATGTATGTTTGTCGACAAAGTCGTCATTTGGTTTTTTTCAACAACACAATGTCTGCGCGAACTCGCCGTTATTTCGTTGGCTTTCCACTATACACAGAGGCGTGTCAAGTGAGGGCTCATAATATATTAATATGTTTCTTAATTTGTATTGAAAAATACTAATGCATTAATGACTTATTGACGTAATATAATTAATAGACACTTAAAAATATAAATACCAATAAATTCATACCTATAATCGTTTTTAAAATAAATTCGAATAATAAAAACTATCTGAAATAATTATGTGGCAGTGCGCCCCTAACCCCTTCTTGCTTGTGATCGTTCAACTTACTTCTCGCAAAAAGCAAAAAGTGTAGACAAAAGTCATTGCTTGTGTGGGGCAAGAAGAAGCAAGCATCAGCGTACGTGTATTTAAGAATATATGTGTGATTACTCAGGAAGTAAAATTTGCTATTAAAGTGATTGAATTGAGATATGCTTAGATTCCAATTAATAAAATAAAAAATTAAATAAAATTTCAGTTTCATGAGTTTTAGGATTCGAACGTATAGGCTCCTTTTTGAATTGAACTTAACTGCTTCACGCTTACGACCTTAGCCACCTCAATATTCAAAACGGGGCCGCTTAGCTACCGTTTTATTGCTATCCTTTACTCAGTAAGCAATTACTCACGCAACGCATATACATAAGTTGGAAAATTAGCCTATTAAATGTTTATTTTATTATAAACTCTGGGGTTTTTACCTGTAATACAGCTTTTAAATTCAGAAGGCTTTTTACAATTATAAATTTTGTCATATCATAGAAATTGAAAACATAAATCTAAATAGGTATGCGCAACGATTTTTCATTTAGGAATATTCGTTGTGTCGATTTATAGCATTTCGCCAGAGAATGTTGATGAGTAGAGAAGGAGCAAATGTTAGCAGTACTAAAATGTTAATTGCTAAGAAGGAACATCGAAAACGCGCAAGTTCGAAAAAAAAATGTCACCACAGCTGTCAATTTACGCAACGAACTACACCACTCTATAAGCAAAATGTATATACATACATATGCACAGATGTTCTTTGATATGCGCATAAACAAAAATTGAAATAATAAAAACGAAAGAAATTGACTTCTGACAGGAAAATTTAATAATCAGGGAAATAATATTAAAATAGAATTCAAATATCAATTCATAAAAAAGGGTTATAAAAATAAAAAAGGACTATATAATATATGATTGGATTTGAACTTAGGCAAAATATTTCACGTTGCAATAAAGAAGTCTGCTATACAAGCAGCACCACAGACAATATTCAAACTCTTATGTCTAATCTGTGAACTCAAAAGGCTATTGTTGTTTACTTGCTTCAATGTTCATATGTCTATATGTGAATATTCTTGAAATTGCCTTCCTTCATTCGCATGTCCAAATATATTTGCATATAGACACACATATGTACATATGTATGTCCCTCAATATGTCTTTCTCAAAAAATCAAACATTCGCGCAAGTGACAAAAAAACGTAGACGCACCATCATCGGCCAATAATATTCAAGCAAACTTGCACCATATTTTCTAGGTATTCCATATTACAACGCCAACAAATTCATTCATAAGGAACGTGCGTCTCTGCGCCGCGCTATTTTTCCTGTGCGCCTGGTAAACCACATTTGGTTTTCATATAGAATTCCTATCGCAAATAATTAAGTTTATAAAATAATGAATGAATGAAATTGAATTTGAATGTCTTCAGTAAAATTGAAGAATCAGCAAAAATACCTATAATCGTTTTTAAAATAAATTAATAAAAACTATCTGAAAAAATTATGTGGCAGTGCGCCCCTAACCCCTTCTTGCTTGCGATCGTTCTTTTTCTTCTCGCAAAAAGCAAAAAGTGTGGACAAAAGTCATTGCTTGTGCGGGGCAAGAAGAAGCAAGCATCAGCGTACGTGTATTTAAGCAAAGAATGTAAAAGAACGAAAAGGGGCAGGTTCGACATCGAACAATTTGTAGGAATTTATCAAGGAGTTCACCACACATGCGCGAGAAACAAATAACATTTCTCGCTTTTATAACAGCGGTGAATCTGTACACATACGCTCTCTTAACATAACCAACCGACGAATATTGAAGAGAATATAATTGGTATGCCAAATTGGGAATATTGATATGCCATTTGAAATTTGAAATATATTCCCTTTTATTGAACTATTATTTATTATTATTTTTAAATTATTTTATGTTAATTCATTTTTACTTTATTGTGAATTATTAATAATAATTTAAACATATTTTGATATATTTCTTAAAATAATTCATGTACTTGATAGCATTATGGAGCCACAAAAGTACAGAATTGTGTTTTGCCGTCGGCATTTCACATTCATGCTTCAATTTTTCTTTTCAAATGCATGTGTAAAAGTAATTATGTACGTAAATATGTACTTCTTTTTCGTTTTGGCCCATTTTACATATTTATTAAAGCAAGTGTCAATAATTGCGCCAAAATCAAAGAAATACAATCAAAGAGTCAATCTGTCGAAGGACTGACGCGACGACAAAGCGTCACAACATTGTGTTGTTGGTAGAAAATCCGAGATGTGCCATACACACTCTTACAAACATACATCGCATATGGGCAAGTGCAAAATCAACCCCTATTCATATACAAATAAATCAGGGGAATATTGAATATTTTCTTTAAAAAGTTTCTTGAATTGTAAACCGACAAATATACTATGTTGTCACTTTTATTCTAAAATATTTTAATACTCATATTTGCGGGGTTGTCACTTTTACCTTCTAGAGGGAATATCAGAAATTTGTTCATTTATGATTTCTAGCTTTTGCCATCGTCGCGAAAAGACTCTTGTAGGCAATCGTATGCTCGGGGAGATGTGTAAGGCGTTTGCTGTTATGAATGAAACGACTTAGCTTATTGCAGAGAATGTTAATGAATAGAGAAGGAGC